GTTGGTCATCAAGAGGTGTAAAATCGGGTGAGAATGGTGGCATTCTACACTTGTTTAATCAAATGTTTTTAGTGTTTTCTGTATGCTTCTAATATATCAGAGTTTCTTTTGATAGATTACTTTTTGAACTGATAAACTTGCACAAGCATCTTTGGAAGTCTCTTATTGATCAAGAACTGTAAATCAGGTCAGAATAATGGCGCTCGTTTTAGAATCTTAAACAAACTACTTAGTCTGTTAGTGACCAGAAGACGTGAGATGAGGTAACAATTGTGACACCAGAGGTCCACAGGTGCAAAATCGGGCGAGAACGCTGGCGCAATACGTTGGTTACGTTTGTTTATAGACCAAGCGAAATCCACTACGGTCGACGGCCGTATCGATCCCTGCACCACGGAAGTATTATTGATAATTTAGTATCAAGTGGTTTGCAAATATCCATGTAAACAAACACTGTTTAAACTTGGTTTTATCTGAGGCCGAATATAATTCTCTGATTTATGGGGACGTGAAGAGCAGGTCGCGCTATCATTTAATTCGCTCCTATTTTCAATTATAGTCACTTGAGATTGATGTTTGGCGCAATTTGTTTGGGCGATATATAATTTTAGTGATTCCATTTCTGTCGTAACTCGCTTTGTTTACATCCATATCAATTATTTATACACTAAATTAAATGTTTTCGTTGCGAATGGAATACGCCGCGTTTGAAATAATAGCCAGATCCGAAACCAGATAACGTACAATCGCCGTAAATTCTTTTTAATTTGCTTATGGTGTGTTTGTTTAAAATCGCGGTATTTATAGCGACATCAATTACAGAAATAATAGTTAGACCGATTAAAAAAACTATCCTTGGTTATTATCGCGTTTGCGGACTGGTAATGTAATCGCTGTCTGCAGGAACAAACATAATTTCGCCGTTAATAAAACCTTATTTAACGCTTGCAAATGCGGGTGTTATGACAGTCCATAGTACCTAATAAAAACATTGATTTACACGTGTTTTTCTGCAAGCGCCGCCACAATGTCGGCTGTATTTTTGCCCAGCTATTTGCGTAATTCACGCCTAATGGACATAAAATTGTGGAAATGCGTGCTTCATAATTTTGCAAAAACAGGCGGATGTTCACGAGTAACGAATGTTGGATTTCGGGCCCGTTTTTACCATCGACTGCGTCCGCCTGATGGCACAAAGGTAACGCGACTTCTTTTAAATTGTTTGAAACGAAATTACCGCCATTCGGACGCCGCTGTATAAAAATACAAAAATACGAGATAGCAATAAAAGCGTCCCAATTTTACGATGGCACGAATTTTTATTCTCGTTTGGTTTAGTTGCATATAAAACGAATTCCTTGACGCAACACTCCATAAAAATTAAAACCCATAAAATGCCATTGTCTGATGGTCAGATTACTCACAGTCGAGTTATACGAAAATTTCCAAATGTGTCTTCGTGTTTGTCTACATATGTTGTTTGTTTGAATGACAAACACGAGATAAGAATTCGTATATTAAATTATGATATCATCCTCGAGGGGACTGGGGATGTGGAATGAAACTTATTGAAAATGTCTGGTTTAGTTTTACGATTTGTACTCGGGCTCTGTGTGAAGCTGTCGTACGACATGACGTTTTTAAAACTCTGCAGGTATTGATTGCTTCTTGTTCCACGTAAAAGGTCATTAAATTCTATAAGCTGAATGGAAATTAAAAGGAAATTGAATTGTTGTCGTTTCAGGAATTATGTTCTATCAATAGCTCTGATAAGTCGTCAAACTTTTAATGCATGGGGATGCAATAGCAGAAAAGTAAGCGCTGTTGCTCGTCATGGTTTTAAACTGTCATTATAAATTTTATTTCCCGAGAGGAAGCTAAAATACGAAAAAGTAGGTCCCTCGTTTCCCTCTGTCTGTCGCCGGTTGGCGATTTTATTAGACGAATATAATCTAAACTAAGGATTCGATTTGATATTATGAAATTGAGGGTGTATTTATAGAGGTTAAACCTCATCCAAATTTTCTCTCTCCCTTCCCACCAAAAATCTAATTTTTAAAATTTTACCCTCATATCAAATTAAAAAAAAATGGGTCAATTAAAAATTGTAAAAATTTTGGATGTCTGAATATATGCAAATTTCTAAAGTGAAATATCGGGTTTTGTTTTGGTGCAGGATAATTTTCTGATTGTTTATGTTAAAACGGGATCATATCTATGTACACATGCACTTGAGAAAACATGAGATTATTTATTTACGTCATTTAGATAAATATAACCGTTGTAACATTGTTTAGAAAAAAATAATAAATAAAATCACCCTGTAATGTCATTTTTAGGAATACATATAACTACAACCAATTTTGAGTATGTACATATATATTATAGTGTCAAAATTTAAAAAATTTAATCACCAAACTTCCCGTAGAAATGATGAAAAAGGTATAGTTTTATACAAAAATAATTCTATAGAAAAAAAAATTATTCAGGTCAAAATTTTGGATTTTGTATAGACTTTCGAGTCCATCGGACGACTGGCTATTTTTAAGTTTTTTCGACGTTTCATGATCACTAGAGTACAAAAAAATCCCCCCTTCCGTCTGTCTGTCTGTCTGTCTGTGGTCTTGCCCGAATTTTTAATAGGCAGATACTCTCCGAAAGTATTGGACAGAATACGCAAAATGTGAATGTATATTTCATGTAGATGGTGAAACGGTAACCAAAGTTGATTTTATCATCTCCACCAACAACGTGAGGACTCCCCTCAAATTTTTGTACAATAAACATAACCTAGATTTCATAAAAACAGTATACCCCTACACTTGTGCTTTATGAATTCGCCCTGTTTTTATTTATTATTATTACAATTAGTCACATAATACTTACGACCGCAAACCAACTAACGGTTCCGTGGCAGGAAAGTTCAGCCTTTCTAATGTTTTTTATTACATCGAATCATCTCATTTTCTCGAAAATGTAAGAATACAGTAATGTCGTGCCCGCTTATATTTAAATAATAAAAAAATAATTATTATCAGAGAATTATCACCCAAAATAATATTGTGGTCGTTTTGTTCCATTGTTAGGTAGCTTAATTAATTAATCAGTCGCCTCCTCTGGTATTTTCTATAAATAAATTTGTCTAAATATTTTCTCAAAATTTAACACCAAGTACAGATTTATGTAAGTCAGAAAAAAATATCTTACCCTATGTAAACTTTGTTTCATCCTTGTGGAACAGAAAACCAATCACCATTTTACTAGTGATTCTCAACACTCGTTAAGTCGCCACTATTTATTGTATGCTTCGTCGTAGCAACAGCCTTAAAGTTTCCCCAAATGTAAATTTACAATTACATATTTGTGTAAAGTTTATCCAGATTCAATTTTTTTTTTCTACAAACTGTATTTTTTATTTCTATTTTAAACTTCACAAAAAGGACCTGGATTTCTATGGCTTAAGATCTCGGATGGAATAGATACATCAAGGATGACTATAAATTATTATTTACATTACTGTGATTTCACTATTATTACTCACTTTCATATTTATCTTAAACACTCAGGTCCGTAGTTATCTTTTTCCAGTACAGCATTCTGTGAACATCAAATAAAATCGTTTTAAATATACTACGACCCAGTTATATATTAGGTATAATAATATTCAGGAAGTTTTGCTCCATTGTGGCTTAATTAATAATAATTAGTCCTTTCCTCTGTATTGAGCAGATAAAATTGATCTAATTTCAAAATACAGATTTTTCATGTGGCACCGTTTATTCTGATCAATCAGCATCTGTACGTGCTTAATAGTCGAATTCTTTCGATGAATAAACATAAAAAGTGGAAGTTAAGAATGTACTGATATTTTTTCCGTTAGTTGTCTGCTTTAAATAAATTCAGTATTCGTACCTGTGCAAATTGCGTGTTAATTACGCTAAAAATTAATTTTTAATGTTCATTTGTTTTTGTCTACGATATTCACACATTCATTAATGAAACAAATTTTTATATTTTCAGCCATCAATAAATTAATGTTTGCAATAAAATTTCGTGTATAAGAAATAATAATATAATTTTTAATGTAAATAGTGTACTGAAAAGTTACAAAAATTGCAAAGAAAAATTTTAGCACGAAGTAACTACATTTCTTGGTGCAAATAAATGTGGTAATAAATTCATCAGAGCCGTCTTGATACTAAGAATTAAATTAATTTTTGGCACATCTTTTTAACAATGCATCAATGAATAAAAAAAAATATTTCTATAAAAAAATATATAGGGTAGAATATAACTTATTTCTATTAATACGAACACAATTAAAACTAAAACATTGATTAAGGTTGTTACTATACTGAAATGAGGAAGAAACTAACAGTTGGTTTTTGTCACATTTGAAAGACAAGAAGAATCAAATTGTTTTGAAATAATAACATAGTGCTACTTTCGTTAGATAAATGAATATTGGATAAAATATTGAATTTTGAGTTACCACTGAATTACAGAAATATAGATGAAAACATTTTTAATTAATTTAATTAATACACAGACGAAATAATGGAAAATAAAGACCAATGCATTTTCTTATCCGATTCGGCAACAAAAGCCCAAAGATTAAATCTAAAGTACCTTTAGAAAAGTCTGCGTTTAAAGCAACATATAGGGACTTTACTTGAGCTTTAGAAATAATCTGACTGTACTGTACTACAGTTTAAAGTAATATTTAATTTATGAAATAACATTTAACTTGTTCTTCACCTAGTGGCCGGAGAACGTCGTATCGAACTGATAAATCTTTTCTCGAACACAATTATTATTGTTATGTAGGCGAGATCTCCAATATGGATAAGAAATCGAAAATTGAATTTTCTTTGGTCAACTCAACTCTCTGACAACAACCGTCCGATTAATCACCGCTTTGTTTTGTTTGTCACACTCTATCCGCGCATCGTCCGCTATCCGCACACCTAACCTAACCCCAACCTTCCCATTTCGCTCACCTGTGGCGTACTCCCCGGCGCACAGAACCCCCAAGCAAACCCACACTATATCCATGAACTTGGTCATTTCCTCAGATTCTCATATCACAACACTCTCCAACACATTGTTTAACAAAGAAATCCACTCACAGCAACTGTCACAGCGTCGCCACCCGAAACACGCCAACTGCGTTCGGCCCTTTGAAATCCGCACTCGCGTTTATCGGCGAAAGTCGCGTGTTGCCATGGAAGCGCAACGCGAAGCAGTCCTGCCAACCGTCAGCGCACGACTGGAGCACGAAAAGAGGAATTCCACCGGCTGGAGCTCGCGCATGCTGCTGTGGGCCGATCTAGATGAGGAGAAAAATAATAACTCGTTCGGATTTATTTATATTTATTGGCGTTTCTCGGATTCATTATTCGCGGGAACACATGCGAGTTGGGGATTTTTTTTTAGGGGGTGGGGGAGGGGGCTGGCGCGGGGAGGCCGGCAAGGGGGGTCGGGAGCGGCGGAAGATTGACGCGGGCCGGTTTTTTGGAGGCTGGTGGGCGGGACGCGGTGTCTGTGGGATTTTTTCTCTGATGTTTAATTAATTGGGAGAATGCTAATTGTGGGGGGCGGGGCGGCTTCCGATTCGGCACAGGGGAAAGTGAGGTTAGGATGATGTGCGGTTTTGGGCGAGGTGGAAGACAATGAAGGTTTGTGGGATTTGGAAAAGGCGGGTTGCGGTTTTACGGAGAAAAAATTGGTTTTTAATTGTTGATTGTTTGGAAAGTGAGATGTACCACCCACGAAAGCAAAAAGTTTCTACAAGAATTAAAATTGTGTTGGACAAATCAACTGAAGTCAGGTCAAATCACGCCAAAAAATGTCGGCCAGGTCAGGTCCGATTAAATCAGGTCACATCAAGTCAAGTCAAATCAGGTCTAGATAAATCACGTCAAGTCAGACCAAGTAAATCTAAGTCAGGTCTGAATAAGTCAAGTCAGGTTAGATCAGTTCAGGTCAGATCATGTCAGGTCAAATCAGATCTGGGCTAGACAAATCAACTGAAGTTGGGTCAAATCACGCCAGATCATGGCAGACCAGGTCAGGTCGGATCAAATCAAATCAGCTCAGCTCTAGTCAAGTCAAATCAAATCGAGTCCGGTGTAGACAAATTAAGAAAAGTCAGATCAAGTCAAGCTAGGTCAAGTTTGACTAAGTCTGGTCAGGTTAGATCAGGTCAGGTCAGGCCTTATCAAGTCAAATCTAAAAGGTCAGGTCTAAACAAATCAAGTGAAGTCAAGTTAAATCACACTAGATCATGTCAGACTAGATCAGAACAAAATAGTCAGGTCAGATCAAGTTGTGCCGTGCCTACTTCAGTTCAAATTAGGCGACAAAAAATGATAGGGATACTAAGATAGGTGACAGAAAGTGATGGGGTCTTAACACAGGCCAAAGAAATGATATCGGTCCTGGGTCAGGTCAAATGAGCTCAAAGTGAGCCAGAAACGGCATCAATTCTTCAATTCTTCAATTCTTCAATTCTTCAATTTTTAAATTCTCCAATTCTTCAATTCTTCAATTCTTCAATTATTGATTTTCCCATTTCTCGAATTTCAATATTTCGATTTTTTTAATTCTTTAGTTTTTAGATTTTCAGGATTTTATTTTTTCAGTTTTTCGATTTTCAACTTAACGGTTTTTCGATTTTTCAATTCTTCTATTTCTCACTTTTTCGATATTTCAGTTTTGAGATTTAACAATTTTTTGATATTTTGGATTTGAGATTTTTAAATTTTTTCATTTTTATTTATTTCTTGAGTTTTGATGTTTCGATTTTTTATTGTTCAGTTTCTTGGTTTTTCGATTTTTGAATTTTTTCACTTAATTTTAAAATTTTCAATTTATAACTTTCTGATTTTTCGATTTTTCGACGTTTGGATTTCTCGATCTTTTGATGTTTCGATTTCTGGATATTTCAGTTTTTGAATTTTTCGATATTTCGATTTCTCTGTTTTTCGATTTATTTTTAGATTTGTTGTATTTTCTTAAATTCTCCGGTTTTATGATTTTTTAATTTTTTTACACATTGATATTTTGGCTTTTTTGGTGTTTGTCGAGTTTTTTAGCTTTTTTTTCGAAATTTTCAGATTTTTCATAATTGAGATTCTTGGGTTTTTAGGTTTCTTCGGTTTTTTGGTTTTCTGTATTTTTTTTTATTGTTTAAATTTTTTAGGTATTTTCTTTTATTTGATTTTTTTGGATATTTTCTATTTTTTCGATCAATTGTAAAATTGTTATTTTTTTTTTTGTTTTTATATTTTCTGATTTTTTTATTTTTAGGAACTTTTCGATTCTCTATATTTTTGGAATTATTGGAGTTCTTGTGTTTTTTTGAGTTTTTTGTTTTTTCAGATTGTTTTGGTTTTTTAATTTTTTGGTTTTTTGATTTTTCAATTTTCTTGATCCTTCGATATTTTGGCTTTTTCGGTTTTTTCGGATTTTTCTGAATTTTTCATATTTTTCTTGAGATTCTTGGGTTATTTAGAGTCCTTCGATTTTTTGGTTTTTTGGTTTCTTTTGATTTTTTAATTTTTTAGGCTTTTTGGGTTTTTCCTTAATTGGATTTTTTGGATTTATTCCATTTTTCTTAATTACTTGTAAAATTTTTTTGATTATTTGTAAAAATGTTTGTTTTGTTTTTTATATTTTGATTATTTTGGATTTTTGGGAACTTTTCGATTTATTTTTAGATTTTTTGTATTTTCTTAAATTCTCCGATTTTATGATTTTTTAAATTTTTTTACACATTGATATTTTGGCTTTTTTGGTGTTTGTCGAGTTTTTTTAGCTTTTTTTTCGAAATTTTCGGATTTTTCATAATTTTTAGGTTTCTTCGGTTTTTTTGGTTTTCTGCATTTTTTTTTGTTGTTTAAATTTTTTAGATATGTTCTTTTATTGGATTTTTTTGGATATATTCCATTTTTTCGATCATTTGTAAAATTTGTATCTTTTTTTGTTTTTATATTTTCTGATTTTTTTATTTTTGGGAACTTTTCGATTCTCTAGATTTTTGGAATTATTGGAGTTCTTGTATTTTTTGAGTTTCTTGTTTGTTTTTATTTCCTTGGTTATTTAATTTTTTTCGGATTTTTCGGATTTTTTTTTAATTTTTCATATTTTCTTGGAACATATTACAATCATAAATTGTTTTAAAGAAAACTGAAATACGTGTGTAAAATATAAAGTCTAGGATTATTGTAATAATATTTTATCCAAAGTTCTAAGAACTGTTCTTTGATTTGTAATATGATTATGTTTTTAATGCTTTTTTGCTTAAAATAAAACTTTTTTATTGAAAATGTTGTGCTTATTTAAGCGCTTATTCTTAATTTTTTTGTGCTTATAAATCCGCTCTCTATTGATAAGTCTACATTATTTACTATTTATATTTTATTTCGTTTCAACATCTGCAAGAGTCTCGGTTAGGATTGGATAAAGGTCCGTGCGAATCGAATTCCCGAACAAGAAATCCACGTGATCGTAATCACGTGTTTGATTAGGGATTGGGTATTTGCATTTTTGGGAGCTACCAAGTTCGTTGTACAGTCTCTCCAGATTCTAAAAAAATTGAAAACTTATTCAGTTGAGCTTTTTTACGAAAGCTGACCTCTTTTTTGTAAAAAGCGTCGTTTTCTCCATAAAACAAACAAACTGGTAATTTTATTTGTGATAAATTATACGATTTCCCTCTTTTTCGTTATTTCAGTTTTGGAATTTTTCAATCTCTCAATTTTTCAGTTTTCGATTCTCCAATTCTCCGATTTTTCAATACTTGTGATTGTTTAAATTTTAGTTTTTCAGTTTCTGAGTTCTTCCATATGTCTATTTTTCAACTTTTCGATTTTTGTAATTTTACTACTCAGTCATATGTAAAATGGTTAAGCCAGGTCAGATTAAGTCACGTCAGATTGTGTCAGTTCAGGTTAAGTCAAACTAAATTAGGTGAGGTTAGGTTACGTCAAATAAAATCAAGTCAAATCGAGTCACATTAAGACAGGTCAGACCTGAATAGTCAAGTCAAGTTAGATCAGGTCAGGTCTTTTCAAATTAGGTCAGATCTGGTCTGGACAAATCAAGTCAAGTCAGGTGAAATCAGGACAGGTGATGTCAGGTCAGATCAAGTTAAGTCCAGTCATGGGTAGAAAAGTTTATTCAGGTCATATCAGGAGGGTTAAGGTGGGTCAAGTACAAGTAAATACCAACCGAACATGTACTTACCTTTTTTGAGCGAGCGAAGCGAGTTCCTTAATGCTCTTAAAAATTAAACATCACTTATATATAGTTGATGAGAATCTTCAGCGAATAGAGAATTATAGTAGAATGGAAATAGTATGAGAAGGACACGTTGAGTTTTGGTAATCTGTCACTTTGTGTCTGATTAGTAGTGATTAGTGACGTATTCTCTGCATTATCAATATAATATACATGCCTATTTTTCTAGATTAAATCAAGCTATTCTAGTAACAAATAAGAAATGCTCAGAAATCACAAAAATGAAACGAAACACTATCAAGTTAAATTATTAAAGAATCATAAAATAAAATGAAGAATACCACCATCGATCAGTACATTTCGTTCCCCTAAATTTGTAAGTGCATTCGTTCGGATGCTTCTATGCACCTTTTATTGGTGTGTTCTTCTCATAGAATTTTCACTATAGGTACTTTCAAAACAGGATTAGTAGCCGTGCCTGGATTTTTTCAGCGAGCGAAGCGAGCTTTATTGTATTATTTTAAAGCAAAAATATTTCGATCTGAAAGAACGAGAATTCAAAGTGAGTATTACCTATTAATACCGGGTGATTTTTTAAATTATTATATGACTAACAGCAAATAATTTAAATAATACAGACATTATATTCGAGTTGTTTATGCAGCTTTATGGAACTACGAGTACAGAAAAAGAAGCACACGACACCCTCAGATGGTCCGATTTTTCTACCTAGAAACCGGAACCATCTGAGGGTCCGTCTTGTGCTCTTTTCTTCCAATGACCCCATAAATCTGCATAAACCACTCGGAGTGTATTTCGGTGTTATTTTAGCTGTTTATTGCACTAGTCGCACAGCCCAATTTTGAGTCGAAAAGAAGTTATACAAAACTTGTAAGCCAGTCCGGTTACGAAACTTCCAAAAATAACCTGGCTAATAAAACCACAAAAATAATTAAAACATTATCTATTGTGCCAAGAATGTTTCCATTAAAACACTCAAACATAATCATACTCTTTATCAAAAATCGATGACGTAACAAGTGAGTTTTTTTG